ATTCAAAACTCACCATCTCAAAACCACTTCTTTTCATCCGCCTGCAGGACTTGAGGTAAGTACGTATACGTTTTCTGGCACGCTCTTGATACTCAGGGAATTGTCGCCTGCATGAGTCAATGATAGCCTGGATCTTTTCTTTGGGCTGCTTAGAGATTGGGACCATTCGGTCCAAGTTTTCATCTACAAACAGCCTGACAAACATCTGTTGGCAAGAGGGAGACAGAGGAGAAGGGTTTGGAGGGCTGCTGTCTTCTGTTCCTAGCTTCCTGTCTTGATTACCGATAGGAAAATATTCTTTTCTGGTTTATGCACTGGAGAACTTTGCAATGGAAAGCCAGAAATTTTAAGCAAACACTCTTTAAAGACTTTTCTAAATGGTTGGATTAAAAAATAGAGAGAGAAAAAGAGAGAGAAAGGCAGACAGACAGACACACAGACAGAAAAGAATATCGTGTAGAAAAAAATCAGGAAATAACAGTAGACTGTGACAATTGAGCACCCCATTAAATTCTCCGCTAATGATAAATACGACTGTTACATTGCTACACTGCACAGTGGACTAATCTCTGAAAACAAACAATTGACTCTTTTGTCATGCATAATTAGATAAGCTAGGAAAGCAAAAGAAATAACAGATGACGGGCGTACTCTTCCGAGGACTAAGCTGAGGCCCCCTCCATCCACTAGGTAAACATGCATACTCACACAACACAATTCCAGTTTTCAGCTCACATTTGGCTTTAAAATTCTAAACAAAACACAGCAATTCTGGTGTCTGGTTGGCAAAGAGTGTTTCATGTACTTTTTAAATCCTTCTGTAAATTAAACAAACATGTCTCTAAAATATCCACATTTACCAACAAGCAACAACATGAAAGTGAAGTGGTAAAAATTAAACCGCACTTGGAGTGTGGCAAGACTCACATTAAAAGCTTTCAGCCGCTCCGCTTCAACGCCGTCTGTCTCGTTCACTTTCTCTGAATCGTCGTGGTCATCGTGGTCATCTTCATCTTCATCTCCCCTGTTTAGTGACAGGTCCTCAGCGCCTCGGTCTACGCTCTCATTTTTGCCAGAGTCATAGCTTGAGTAACTATGTGCAGGAGACTGAAAAGAGAGGGTGAAATTGTCGCTTTTAAATTCGTTGCACAACCTTATACATTTTATGTTTTATTTCTAATTGCCCCTATTTCTCAAAGATCTTGCTTATGAGTTGATAACTCTGGAGCTGTGGCAATTTACATTTGCGTCAAAACTGATACAAAATCAAATTAGAAATTCATTTCCCCAGTGACACTAGTCACACTTCAAGCGCTCAGTAGCTATATGCAACATTTCTGTCACTGCAGAAAGTTTTGTCGAACTTAGTTGTTCAAGAGCAATTACTATTTCCACACAATATCTATATTCCAAATAAAAAAGCAACCTGTAATCGATTTTGCAAGAGCATCATTGAATCACATATTCTTAGAAACAGATACGACCTCGGTGCTTAGTCAGCTTAGTCAGTCTAGCTTAGTATTAGCATCTTTTAAACATGTATGGAAACTGAGGGATGGATATGTTTAATTAACTCGCCCAACAAGAACTATACAAGATATTTTTGTAATTATGGCTATTAGTTATAAGTCAGTATGCTATCAAATAAATTTATAATTTGTCTATGAGTCTT